AAAGTGGCTTTAAATTTAAAGATGTGAAGTTGGCGCTATTCAGTGAAATTCCTATTTGCCGTAACACGTAAAACTTGTCAACTACACGTAGAGCCGCAATATTGAAAATTAAAAATATTTTATGATAATTTATGCAGATCCAAAATACCCACAAAATGTTGGTATTTTGAGGTCACGTGCCAGCCGATCCCAGGGCCTTTTCCCGCCTTCCCAATGACCAGATTAGTCCCAAGTCCTCTGTGCACGCTTTTGATTTCCGTGACGTCACCGAGCGAAACGCGCGCAAGAGGACTAGCACAAATTGTTTTCTAGCCTGCAAAGCAGGCGCTCGCGGGCTTGGTAAATCCCGTAAATGTTTTCCAATATGGCGGAATTCAACAATATATAAAATTGTATAAACATGGAAGAATATGCCGAATATTTACAGGTAAACGTGAGTATTAAGGATATAATGGTTGTACAATGTAAATAAAACATAACTACTTACATGTAAGTTAAAGTTCTTTCAGGAATGACATAAATTTAAAGTAAATTGTAACATATTTAGTAAATAGTCTATTACCCTGACGAGTTCACTGTTTGTTTTATATGTTTTTATGTTCTATATATGAACAATTATGTTTTCATTGTTGTAATTGTACTACTATTGTAGAGCAAGTTAATATACTGTACATAAGTGTGTTTTCGTTCATGAAATGTCAAATATACTACAGATTAGCTAACCTTAGACAAAATATAAAAGGCTTTTAGCCTTTTAATAAAGACAGGATTTTGTGCATCTCACTCGATAGAACTAACTGTTGAAAGGTTTTGTAGATAAATATTTTGAGTGTAAAGTTCATACATTTATGAGTCCTAACTCAGACTCGGTGATTGTCGGGGAATATTCACCTCAACTTTGTCTCTGTGAATATTCCCCAATAATCACCTCACCTTTGGCGAACAATTGTTAACACCAACACAAATATTATCATATACAAAGCAGACAACAAATTGCATTACTTATTCTTTTGATATAACTTATATAATAATTTGATGAATTATTTTTAGTTGCAGAACAAACAGCATTATTGGAGGCAGAAAAGCGGAAATCAACAGGAAATCTCCCACTGCCAAAGAGAAAAGCCAGACAATGTAGCAAGTGCAAGGCACCAATGAAGGTCACCAGCGATCACATTGTCCACACGATGCTCCACAGACTTGATCTGTTTACTGTATATTTTCATTGTTTGTAAATATTGTAAATAGTTAAGAGGGTTGTTGTATATATTGTTGAAATATAATAAGTATGAACAGAATTATGCATCAGTCAGTGTACCCCCTCCCCCAACCCCTCATAAGCTAGGAATTGCTGGGAATTTAAAGCGTGATTTACATTTCAGTCAAGGGATCTCAAAGTGGGCAATATGTAAAACTAATTGTGTAAATGTCCTCTGGTTAAAAAGATTTATTTATTACTAAATAAATAAATAAGTAACAAATAAATATTTTTAACCTGAGAACGTTTACATATTTTAAATATGTAAAACATTAATACACATTACAGATTTGGTGATAATACTTTTCTTTGGGTTTTATGTTATGAAATATTTACATAATAATGAAATATTTACATAATAGTGACTTCAGTTATCATTATCCGTTTGCTCTTCTCCAGATATATACCAGCATCACCAGTACAAAATACATGCAGTCATTATATGATGGTAAATGCATGGTGACAAGGGCTGGTGTTCTCCCAGCCCATCAAGCCAAACAGCCGACGATATGACACTGCTCTGAGGAATCTACAACAACACAAATTTATCTTTATAGAACCTGTAAAGTTGTTTTACTTTCGCTACTAGTCAGAATTAATATGCACAACCGAAGTATATGTACCTTTTATCTGCGCCATTTTTTATTCCATGGGAGCTTCCATCAGTTCCATGTTTGTAAATAGAAGAGGCCCAACTTCACTTCTCTTTTGTCATAGCATTGAAGTCAGGATGATTAAGGATGTATTCAACATTCTTGCCAATCCAAGTAAATTTTCCAGTTACTTACACAATCTCTTTGCAGCAACAGTACTCTGAACACTCGCCAGATTTTGATCGGCACAATTCCCACACGAACACCTGCAACAGAGATAAATAATAAGGCAAATATCAGGGAAATATTGCATGAAAATCATAATAAAGTAACTTAGTTTTGTTTGTAGAACTCACCAATGTGCTAATGGAATATTTTTTCTAAACGCTTCTCCAAAACAGATGGCAAAATGTAATCTTCGTCCTGTTCCTCATCAGAAGATTCGCTGTCGTCTGTACTGGCAATAGTTCCCCTTGATACGGCTCAAAACAATTCGTTACGTTCATATTTCCTTCTAAATTGCTCTCCGTTATGTTATCAGACTCTAAGCTAGAGTAACTAAGAGAATCTTCGCTGTGCGACATAGTAAAAAAGTAGAAATCACGATAAAATATTTTATACAGCGCGATAATACAAATGTTCTTTACTGTTTATATTGAGAATGTCAACATGTGTGTACAACCAGTGACGTCACGCGCTGTTTTCACTCGGGTCCAGACCCCGGGACAAAAAATAGCCGAATTGCTGAACTTTGTAGCTTAAAAAATCCACTTTAAAAAATCGCGGGGCGAAAATAAAATACAGCATGATATTCAGCGTACTTTAAACTATAAAATCAGCACAATTTCAGAAAAAATTTTCAGCCGTTTCATAAACACTTTAAGGAGAACTTTTAGTCCCTGAGGAGGACTTTTGGTCCCTAAGGGGGACTTTTGGTGTCAATACTTACACCAGAATAAGTTTTTATTAGACAATTTGGTTTTCGGCGTATTTGGTCTACAACTAGTGCCCTGTTACAGTTAACAGACACAGAGTAGATACATACAGAGTTGTAACTAGTGTACCCACTTTTTGTGCGCGTGCTCGGCAAGTTATTAGAGAGGTTAACGTTTAGCAAAGACGATGCGACGTCAAAGACGACGTGAAAATGTCAAAATGGCGTGATATTCCCATCTATGGATGTGCCCATGCCATTTTCACGTCGTCTTTAACGTCTCGTCTTCTTTGATAAACCTGTCTACTAGAGGCATTCATGCATGCATCCCCATTGGATGGCGGCTCGCTTTAACTGCTCGCGGAATTTGCCGAGCACGCGCAGTTGATCATTTTTTCCCCAGCCGCCTGAAAAAAGTGGGTACATGAAAACGTAAGTTTCCAAACTGTTTACGACGGCCAGTTACAACTCTGCATGTATCTACTCTGTGTCGCAGATGAGTTGTTAATGAATATGGATCGTGGTGAAGTATGTGGCGTCATCTACTTGGATTTAAAGAAGGCGTTTGACACTGTCAACCACGCAATCCTACTTCAAAAACTGAAATGGATTGGTGTAAACTCGAAATCCTTCCAATCGTATTTGAGTCATCGTACCCAGAAGACAGTGGTTAATAATTGCTACTCGAACCAATCTAAAGTGTCTATTGGTGTACCTCAGGGTAGTGTTTTGAGGCCGTTGCTATTTTGGTTTATGTCAACGATCTCTCGTTATGTTTACAACAGACGCAAGCATCTCTATTTGCAGATGAGACGGCGATCTATTACGCAGCCTATAGTCCTAGCGAGCTTGAGACCAAATTGAATGAAGACCTCGTCCATCTTAGCCTCCTCCTCAGGCATCTCACCCGAGGAATTGGGTGGTGGGAAAAAGTATTCGCAGGCTAAAACTCATAGAGAGGCCTGCGGAGGAGGCTAGCTCCATCTAAAATCTTGGCTAGATGATAATAGATTATCCTTAAATTTACCAAAAACTAAATTTATGCTGACAGGTGGTGGGCAACGACTGACGAGTTTTGGTTCCCTCGAAGTGACTATTGATGATCATACTCCGGGCAGAGAATCTAGCTATAAATATCTTGGAATTGTTATCAATGAAGCGTTTTCTTGGGCTGACCATATCGACTATGTAAGAGCCAAAGTGGCAAAGAGACTTTCAAACACATCAAACATATATTGCCATTCCATTCAAGGTTTTTGGTTGTTAATAACTGAATTTTGCCTCTTCTCGATTATGGAGATTTAGTTTGGGGTGACAGAAACAATGTATATCCGTGATGAATGATTTGCAAATTTTTCATAACAAAACTGCCTGTGTTAGATCTACCGAACTGTGCTACTAGTAGCCAGGCTTTATCAATGTTGAAGTGGTAGTTTATAAACATGGGCGTGCCGGAAGGAAAAAATTAGGGGGGCGGAAAGAAATTTGCCCGACTTTTTCGGATTGTGCCCGACCAGTGCCGAAAATTTTTTTTCCGGAACAAATTAATTTTGGCGACCTCGGAACATCATACAAATTTTCCAGACATCACAAAATTGACCACAAAATTGACAGAATTTCCCACAAAATTGACAGACATTTTCCCATTTATTTTTATAATAAGCCAATATTGCCCGACTGTGGAGCGAATATTGCCCGACTGGCTTTGTTTGCCCAACAAACTGGGGGGAGGCTGCCCCCCCCCCCCCCCCCCCCCCCCCCCCCCCCCCCCCCCATTATGTAAATTACTATATACTTTCTTATTCGAGTACCCTTATGAAAACCATCTCTGACGATAAGACTTCCTCACTAAATATTGTTTTAAATTTAAAAAATTAAAATTAAATTTGGTCTGTAAGGTGAACTTTTGGTCCCTAAGGAGGGATTGATGCATTATGTTAAATTGTATCAGTTCTATTTTAATTTAATTTATGATTATTCTTAATACTATTCTTAAGATAAATGATTATTGATATTCCGTCTTATTCTTTTTCTTCAATATACTAATTTCATAATTTTTCTGTTTACCCTTAGCCTACATATTACGAAGCATCGTGATCAGGCTTAACATCGACGATTTTGTTATTAAAGCCCTGGGCAAACTAGGAAACATTGTTGCGGAAACGTTTGTAATTCTCGGTGTTTCCTCAAATGTTTCCAGGTTTGCCCACCCGTGGAAACATTGTTGCGGAAACAAGATTTGCTTCCCGGGAAGCAAAATGTTTCCTAGCAAATTCAGAAACATTTGATGTTTCCCTATGTTTCTCACTAAGGTTTCCTAGTGTTTGCCATGCACTCTGGAAAACATGGCGAAACATTGGTAGGAAACAATGTTTCCGCAACAATGTTTCCTAGTTTGCCCAGGGCTTAATACTCCCTGTGGTTTCATCTAACTACTAATGCAATCATAATACATATCCCAGAATGCTGCTCGCGAAAAGTTCCTTTGGACTGAATAGTTTCAGAAGTTAAAAATGTTATGCGCACCTTTTGTGCACTCTGGTAATATTATGGATTGTGGAACAAGAGCATCACTTTTTCATTTTAGATGACAGCTCACTACTTGCTCTTATTCCAGTAAAAGATGAACGATTGAAGCCAAAGAGGACGTAAGTTTAGTCAATCAGGAATTGAGGACATGTTTATATGGCCCTGAATCGCTGGGCAGGGAAGAGTTGGAATGATTTTGATGTATTAAATATAGGTCGCGACGCAGCAAATGGTATTTTTAACTTTCCACTTCATTTCTTTTATACAGTATAATAATTGTAATCATTTGTCGTCATTTAATTGCCTGATTATGATCACGTGATATCAAAACGCATCTGTGCCAGACAGTGTACAGTGTAGTTACAATCCTGGCCAAATGTCCGTGTTTTTTTTCTCGTCTCCAAAGAGAGACGAGTTAACGCGAATTATTAATAATACAACGCCCCCTCCCCAATTCAATAGAGAGGTTAAGATACCCCGGTTCCGGTTTACGGGTACGAGTATCGCCATTTTGTTTACCAATTTTTGCTGATGTCAGCAATTTTACCCGTAATTTCTACCCGTTTCCCCGCGGTAAACCATGGTCTACACGTAAACGACAAACGGGTACGGGTGTTTTCTGTTTACTATTTTTGGGCCGTTTAATAGTACAAATTTTCAACATCTTACCCAAATAAATAATGCACATATGCTGGTCAAAGTTTTCAACAATTTATGGCGAACCTCAACAGCGAAAGTTGCCATTCTCTGATCGGTTTTCTTACGCCGGAGTATCTTGGACTTCTTAAGTTACAAGTTATTCCCCGATTTACGGGTACGGGTACGTGTATATCACCCGTACCCGTAAACCGGAATCGGGGTATCTTAACCTCTCTAATGTTGAATTTGGGGCCGTGCTCAACTGAAATTTTCTTAACTTTTAACATTGAATAGGGGGCGGGGTACGGGGTAGGGGGGGGGGGCGGCGTTGTCTTTACAATTAAAGGTCAAACAAAGGTTGGTGTCCCGAGACTTTTGTTCATGATTGTAGCGACGATATCAACTGAAGACAGTCGTCGATTGAGAGAGAGAGATAAAACTACCTGAAAAATGTCAGGGGTTTTTTTCAGGGACTTTTACAAAAACTCAATCTTGATTTGAGTTTTGAAACTCAATTTTTGGAACTCAATTTGCCATCTAAATTTAATCAGTTTATAGTGCCCCTGCTTTAACGCATTGCGTCTCAACTACATTTATTGGATACGGGTGTCAGCCCCCTTCCCCCAGTGGGGAGGGGCAGCCACCCCAGCTGTTCAGCTAAACTCAATCTTCTCTGCAAAAACGGACCCAAGAGAGAATCCGTAAAAAATCCTCGAATATAAGCAGAACTTCAACGTTTCAAGCGAAAGCCCTTCGTCGGGAAGTTAGCTTGAAAACGAAGGGCATTTGCGCGCAACGTAGTTTCATGTAATTGTATCTCTCTTAATCCGTAGCAATCAAAACGCTTTCATTTTCATGATCGTGCAATGAGAAGTTCCATAATGATTGCTTGGTCCAGCTGTAGATATTCTTACTATTATTACACGGTTTCGGACATTTCATCAAATTCCATTCGTCAACAGCCTCATCGTATCGTGATCGTGGCTCATTTAACCCTAATTCCGTAATGAAGCCGATGGAATTTAATGCAAACCATAATTCGTGCGAAGCAAATGGGGGGTTAAATGCATGAATGACGTTAATTTATTAATTCTTAATTCTATTATTTAAAGTGCTTAGGCCAAAAAAAAATATGTGGGTTTCCGGTTTCTTCTTATAAAAACTTAGGTAGGGTAGGTCGGTTTTAACTTTTTTTTTAACTTTTTTTTTAATTTTCCGAATAAGCGGACGCCATTTTGTTTAGTCAGTGCTTCCACATCCAAAAATAAATTTCCCAATATTGCCTCAAATTTCAATTTTCCACAAACTTTTTCCTCTAAGTGGAAACACTTACAAGCATGATCCAATAAAAAAGTTTAGGGTCGGGATTTCGATGTCCAAAAGCTAGGTAGGGTCGGGAAACCGGAAACCCACATATTTTTTTTTGGCCTTATGAAACGAAATTTTTGCCTTTTATTAAAAGGTACTGCTCAAATGATGAAGAATAACGTTTACAGTTTATTCATATCTCATCTCATTCCCAAGTTATCGCACTTTGTATATTTTGAGTTATGGCGTCACAAGAAGGACTTGAGATAATGGCAATAACAAGAAAGTCTGATATCTTGATTAGTATTTAATAAAATTCAATGAAACTTGGCACACTTAGTGGGTGCACCCATATGGATATTAATGGGAGGTCATGTGGTTGCCATGGCAACAGACTAGTCTCTTCTCTACCTTTTCACAAATGTCCTCTTGTAGACCTCTGGCAGAGGATGTTTGCATGTTATAACGGTTTAAACTGATCACAATACCTACGCATATTATATCAATGAGCGAAAATTGCAGATATTGCTATTTATTTCGTTGGAAATCGATCACATAGAAATTGGAAGAGAAGGGAATAAACAAGCCAAATTGTTGACTTTTTGCACCTACTAAGTGTGCCAAGTTTCATTGAATTTTATTAAACGGTCACCAAGATATCAGTCTAGACTTTCTTGTTATTGCCATTATCTCAAGTCCTTCTTGTGACGTCACAACTCAAAATATACAAAGTGCGATAACTTGGGAACGAGATGAGATACAAATAAACTGTAAACGTCATTCTTCATGATTTAAATCGCCATAGCTATTATCCTAACTCTATTGATATGTGGAGTCACTCTTTATTTTCTATTTCCACGAAGTCCTACGATACGGCTCGTTTCAATTACGCAGTACAATGCTTCAATTCCAGACACGGGTGATGCTTATATTTTATTTAAGGTATCAAGTTTTCCATGTATATCATCAATTAATTTTGTATTTTATATTTTTTACATAAATTTACGTAGACAGGAGAGTGAGGTTGTCCCATATATGATTTGCACGATAAGGCATATGCCAAGTTTTCAATGTTCGTAAGCTTTCGCTTTGATTGACCATCGAATTTTGTTCCAGAAATCTTAGTTCGTTTCCCTCTTGAATTATTAAATTTTGGCAAATAAAGAACAGAAGTTTAAACTGCCCAAACAGAGGTAACATTGCACATCATCGTGTATTCCACATCTTACAATACAAAACTAAACCCTTGGAGTGGAGCACTAAATGGAGGGTTTGTGGCCTTTAGCTTTGCCGGATCATTCTGAAAACAACTCCATGCGATTAAGGCTCTCTTAAATAGCTAATTTGTTAATTAGTTAAGTAGTTAAGTGTTTGAATCGACTTAGGTCCCAAAAATGTACTCCCTTTTCCATATTTCCCAATTCCCACTCTTTAAAGCTGTACCCTCCATTTTTAGTATAAAATGCGTATTTTGAAAATTGAGTTATAACCATGTCTTTCGCACAAAAAGGTTAGAGATCGGTTATAGGGTGGTGTTTAGGTCAAAACCAAAATTAATTATTCGTGCCCGAAAAATGAGAATATTGCGAAGAATTCGACCCCCTCCCCCCCCCCCCCCCTCCTTCAAGATCTACAAAAAGTTAAAACGTTACACATATTGAACAGTCTTCAACATTATTTTCTTTGATTTTAACATGTAGAATCACTATGCTGTGAAAAACGAGAACTTTGTATCAGTGGATTTGACATCAATATCACTTACTGTAACATTCCATAAGGTTCAAGTTGCAGGTCCAGATCCATTCTATAAATTTGGAACAAAGACAGTTGATCTTCGTTCTTCTATCTGCGTATCAATCAAATGAACATTTTTGAAGTTAATGAAAGTACATGCACGTGCATGAATTTACAGAATTAGTTCTTGCTCTGAAACATAGGAATATTGAAACCAAGTCTGGAAATAAGGTTGATATTCGTATGACGTTGCTGGACTCTTGTTGTTTCGGCGAAGAAACTTCCAAAATCAACTGAAATCGACAACAATCCAACACTCCAACAAAATATAAAATCGATACAGCAAGTATCATATCACGCTCACATTGCAACGTTAAGTTTATTGAGAATACCATAGAAATAATAGATATATAATAGAGTGTACTTGATCACGAATCACGTCTCCACCACTGGCACTGAACTGTATAAACAAAGCTAAGGCCACATAAAAAAATTACTTGTTAATTATGCCGGGGGGGGGGATGAAGACGC